AATTAATAACTATATTAAACAATAGCTTCAAATAATGTTTCTTTTCCAACTGAAACTATTTTTCTAACAAGAAACAAAAGACAGAAAATATATATTACATTATAATTGTCCAATGTTTTTTTCAATTTGCCTAATATTTCAATTTCTTGAACATGATTTTAATATAAAGATTGCATTAAAAATAGGATCAATTCCGAATTAACTAAGTCATCTAAGAAAAGTTAAGTTTGTTCGATGCAAATGAATGGAAAAATTATTATCACAAAGTATCAGCATAAAACAAATTTGTTTATGAGAAATAAAAAAAGAACAGATGGGATAACAGCAGTGATAGCATATATAGTCATTTATAACTTAGTTTCTCTTCTAATGCTCTTTATTCTTCCATTATTTACAATGTGTTCTTTTTATTTTGAATAATAATTTACATAACTAAATGAATTTATTCTCTAGATTAAAGTGCTTGAAAATACAGCTTAGTAGTTAGCAGCACTTTTCTATTAATTATAATGTAGGTTGTTACTTTTTTTAGATCTGCCATTTTAAAAAATAAAAACCGATAATAAAAGTAAATTTAAACACTACATACAAATTTACACACTCACTTCAATGGCTTTGTTTTTATGAGCAACAATATACCTTAAAGGTTTTGTAAATTTTACGATTACTTATAAAGTAATTATCACATGTAAAACTTCACAGAAATGAAGTGAAACCTATATATTAGGACATAACTAATATATTAGAATATTTAAAACAAAACCAAAATTATTTACAAATTCACAATTCTATTAACAGAACAACAAAATCATAACAAGCCAGTACCTTTCATATTAAAGAGATTCAAAGCAAATGCAAAATAAAGAATTCAATAGAAATGCCAAAAAACATCTTATTTTGATTCACAATAAAAGAATTACAAATGCATTGTAAGTTTTAATTCAACATCTTAAAACATTTCTTTTTATGGTTTTGCCACCCCAGAAATTTCATGCCTATATCTGTTAAGTGCTGGATTCTAGTAGCATTCATGTATTCAAAGAGAATAACAATTTTTTTTTAATTATGATTTAAAGAAAAATAAAATACGTACATTGCAAAAACTTGTCTAGGAAGATTCTCTGTTTCCTTGGCAATATCTATTTTAGTTATTAAATCATACTGATGGATTTTTAAATAATGTCCATATTCAGAAACATTTGCTGTTAATTGATAAATGCTCTTTTAGTCGTTTAAATTTATAATCAGAAATGATACTTCCTTATTATCATAGCCCCCATTATTTAAACAGCATCAAGATTATGGATAAACCCCCCAGTGTGTGACAGAAAGCATTGCAAATGCCAGGCAGTCCTAAACACAGTCACTTAAAAAATTATGCTCACTGTTATTTAATGGGGATTTTCATATATTTGAAAGACAGATTAAGAAAAAAAAATCTTGGAAGATTGATATAGCATCTTCCTCACTTATTGTTATATGTTAAAGTTGTTTGGAAAAAATGCTGAAAATGTGATAGTAACACCAGAATAACTCATAGCCTATTCAGAACTTTTCTCATGAACTTTAAGTTACACTGCTTAGGACTGCAAGTCATTTGGCAATAATTTGCAACATATACACCAGTGATTTATCGATAATCTTGGAGCCACTGAAACAATAGGGGCCATAATGATAAGGAGGTAACCAGAAATTCATATATTATTCAACCCTGCTAATGCAACCAGTCTGGCAGTTTGCTAAAATATTTGTCCAACAGGGCTGCTAGCTATAAAACTGGGCTGGTGAAGAGCTATATGGGAACTTAAAGGAGTTTCTCTCTTGCACAAATAGCACCCATCTTATTTTGTAAATAAACTGGGCTGAATAGTATGCACATCAGCCAATTTTTTTACATAAAATTAGGAAGAAATTTTTTTGAAAAATTCAGAAAAAGAGTATAATGAATTTTTAGGACTTTGTAATTACCTGCACCCCTACAAAAAGTTGCCAATTCACTGGTGACTCTGTGAATTGGTGAAACATGCTTGGGTAGCTCTGCAGTTCGCAGATGCTGTTTTGTTTGTACATAGTAATAAAATGGAACATTTTACAAAAAATAATAAATTTCATAATATTCCATGAAATGATGGTTAAATAAAGATTTTTGAAATTACATTCTAAAGATTTTTTAAATTGCATTCTGCACCATTTGTTTTACAATCAAGCTGCTCAAAAACTGCCAAATTGAAAAGTAAAAATATCTTAAAACACAAGAGATATTTTTTCTACTTTTTTTAGAATGATGCAATTTCAATACATTGTTGCTAATTAGAAAAAAATAAAATAATCTCGCAAATCACCAAATCAAAATTTTGTAGTCAAACTAGTTTTTAAATTTAGCAAAATGCAGAAAAATCACAAATCAAGAGACATTTATAACACAATTCATATTTCAAGAAAGGAATAACCTGCTTTTGATATAACAAAATGAACAAATTCAAATGACAAATATCTGTCAACAATATGACTTAAAATACACATTTGGCAACAATTCGCCAAACTATAACACAGGGTTCGTACACATTTCTGCACATGGAAATTAAGTACTTTTAAGGACCATTAATGAAAAAAATTAAGGACCTATGAACAAACGGGAACTGAATAAATGCAATTGAAGATATTATCTAGCCTGAATTTCACTTTTGTAATACCATCCTAACAATAAATAGATCCCTAAGTAACGCATTATTACTAAAACATAAATTAATTAATATAATTGTTAATAAGTTTGAGAATAAAATAAACTATGCAATTTATCAAGTAGCATTAAATATTTTACACTTATGATAGTCAGTCATATTTGAACGTTTATATGGATTTCCTTCTCTTTTAAGCATCTTTTCTAACAATTAGAGATTTGTCTCTTGCAAACCAATGCTCTCACTAGTTTCTGCGTGCTTCATCTTCTAACTTGTCAACCTCTCCACAATGTACCTATGAGGATTTACTTGATCTGGTAAAAGTTAAATGGTCCAACCCCCCCCCTCCCCGACAGACGTGAAGCATATTATCGCTATGTCTGAAATTAACTACAATATCAGACAAAGGTTTAAATAAGCCTCTTATTTGAAAAGAAATTAGAACATAAAGGCATGTTCTGATGCTAACAAAATCAATTACAGCTCACGTGACGTATTAAGCAAGAACAGTCAGATTCAACTAATAATGTGGACTAGTGGTCAAAGATTATACAATTTAATGTAATTTAATCTGGCTCATAACTCTATCATATGAGGAAATAGAAATGGAAATTATAGTAAGGTTGAATCATAAACAATTGGTAATTACATAATAATAACTGCACATATCTTTGAAGAATATTTCCTTTATGTACTCAGTTTCTTTCTTCAACACGTTTTCCTTTTCATTTTAGAATTTTTGGATTTAATTAAAGGATTTCCGTTATTCTAAAAAACACTAAATGCATTTAGAATGTACAGAAAAAGCGGGCTAATTTTATTCTTTAGTAATATGAACATTCGAAGCAATATGAAATATAATAGTAAAAAACGGTTACAGAGTTGATGCAGAATTTTCTAGAATTTAGTGACACACTGACAAAAAAATCTAGAAAGGCAAAACTTTTGGAATTTAGAGCAAGCATTAGAAAGCAGAATTTAGAAAGGCATAGGCGCAGAATTTAGGATCCACAGAATTGCATCAGGGGGAAAATGCCTAGTGCCAGCTATGTGTATGAGCATTAAGAAATATTACATGAATCTTTTAAATTGTAAGTTTTTCATTTCTTTTAATAAAAAAATCCCTTTCATAATGCCTGCCCATGTGTAAGATCAGAAGCATTTTTGATATTTCCATGCTTCTGTCTAGTGAAAGTACAGAAAATAAAGAGAAGGAAACATGTTAAGATTCTAGTATCAGAAGTATATATTCAAATATTTATTTTCTTCCGTTTTTCTTCCAGATGTTCTTCCAAAAATAAGAAATTCATTGCAAACTTTCTGTAAAATACATCCACTACGTGTTGATACAATGGAGACATTTTTCATTTTGTCACATATTTCTTGAATCTTCTAGAATCGTGAAGGCAAGATTTATAATCTTGCTTCAAATCCTTCTAAACTTTCCAAGCTGCAATGTCTAAAATCCTAAAGAAAAATTATCCCTACCATTTCTGTAACAGAAAAATGTCAGAAATATTTTGGAAAAAAGTAGGAGGGAAAAAGTATAAAATTAAATTTATAGAGAAAACTGATGCACATTCTGAGAATTCTGAATATCCGAGACATACATGGGAAAAACTATTACTTGAAAAAATTAAAAACAAGAAATTTTTAATTAATATTACATAGCTATTTTGTTTTTTTTGCTAAGCTTTTTCGAAATTGTGCTTTAACATTATCCTTGTTTATTTTTCAGATTTAAAAAAATATGTACAAGTTGCCAAAATGAAACTTTATAATATTACAGTGAAAAAAAAAAAATGTATTTGACTGTTTTTTTTAAATCGAATTTCAATATATTACCAGATTTTAATAAATTTCTCAATGTACGATGTTTTAAAAAAGAATCGTCAAAAATTCTGAGATTTTGGAATTAAACTTGGTCTTATAGAACTAATCTTAAAATCGCAAAATTTGAAAGTCGCCAAATTTAGAACAGTTTATAAAAGAATTCACATCCCCAAAATCAAAGTTGTTTACGAGCTCTTTACTAAATAAAGGATTTCGAAATGCTTATGTTCACTTCTTGCTTAGAAACTCGAGTATCCCATATTAGAAATGAAATAAATATAACTCATGACCCATTCAAAGATTCATATATACGGCAGTGAATAGCCAAAATATTCTCAAATGCTATTCACACGCAAATGACAGTGTGAAAACAGACAGAATTTTCAGATGATAAAATTAGGACCTTCTTTTGATTTTAACCAAAATTAAGGACTTTTAAGGACAAAAAATCGAAGGATTTTAAGACTCTTAAGGATCGTACGTACCCTGGCACAATTTAAGATGACACAAAATTTGTGAAAAATCAATTTCATGTGTGATAAAACTAGAGAAGTTTTTGTGAAAATTACAAAAAAAAAAAAAAAAAGTTAGCAGATATATGAAAGTATACTTGTGCTCATTGTTGTGTCTTTCATGATCATGTAGTATTTGATCTGTGATTTGTTATTTCAACCAATTTATGATTGTATATTTTTTACTTTAAGATTGGTTATATTACAGTGCAATTTAGTATGCATATGAAAATGACATATATTGCATTTTTTTAACAACAGCCAAAATGCATTTGAAGGTTAAAAAAGACCAAATTTGGAATTCAAGAAACTACATTTTGTTTATGACCAAAAGTTCTGAAAATAAAGGCAGCATAAAGACAAAATGTATATTAAACCAGAAAAGAAATTTTCTCAAATTTCTCCCAAAATTCTTTTAATTCTACTGAAAATTTAAACTTCTAATTTTAATTTATTTCATATACCTCAAAATAGTAAACACCATAATTTATTATAAATTATTTTATATTCTCAAGAATCAAACAATTCACATTTAAACAAAATACCCATGAGCTAAACCAGAAACATAACAGTTCTTCAAGATAATGACTACCTTAATGTTAGCAAAACTTCTTACATTTAGCCAAGTACATATCAATTTGCTTTCTGTACGTGAAAAAATTTCACTTTTTATACCAAACTTTCAAACTGTGAATCAGAACCACCTGGAACATTAAATTACTGAATACAATTCATCAAGTAAAAGATGCAAACAAGGGCAATTTACAAAACTGAAGTCACAAAGCAAAACCTTTTATGAAAACCACCTTTCCAAGGAATTTACAAATATCAATGCATACTATATAAAGTATTACATGAAATTTATTATTTTTTACAATAATTCCTTAAAAAAATACATTTAACCTTTCTATATGTTTCATTTTCATATTTTAATTTATTATGCATTATGTAAGCTTATACTCCTCCTTTCCTTTAGGAAAAAAATGAGGTGGGGGAATTACAAAATTCTTATCAATTTCATTATAAGTTTCAAATAATTAAATTATGGATACAGAAACAAAATGATACAGTTATACTTTAGTAATTTAACAATTAAATTTATGGCTAACGGAAAAAATCAAAAGATCCTCATATTAATTTATGTGCCATTATGAGCTTCACATATGATGGCCACATTCTCCCCCCCCCCAATGGTGGACACTTGCCTATTACGGCACTGGCCACTCCTAAGTCCAGAAGTCGTGGCCATTTTACTATGGAGGCACCTAATAGGCAGCCACTGTTACCTTCTATGAAGGGACAGACAATTGTACATACATGCCTTTTCTGGGATTTGAACCTGGGCCCTTCAGTATCGCAATCAGGCTCCCCTAATCAATATATCATCTGGGTGGCAAAAGCCACACAATACCTAAAACTGGTTGGCAAACTGTCATTAGTTTACATATCAAGGCTTTTCTAAATAATATCAGTCACCAATGAATGTGCAATACAGTGTCTGAGTTTTTAAAAATAGTATAAAAAAACTAAAATACAAAATGTTAACTTTTGTTCTTGCTCCTAATTTTGAAATCTAAAATTGAAAAATTTTTTTTTACATATTTTAAATATTATGAAAAGATCTAGAGGTCTGAAACATATGCCTCATTGTTCTTGCACAAATCAAGTTTTGATATTAATAATCAGGCTCTGGAATTATTTATCAATAAATAGATTACAACCTATTTTCCATATGGTTTTTCTTACTGAAAATTTCTTTTCTCCAGTCCACTTTATAATAAAATGTAATACTTGACATAGAAAATATGCATTAACTGACAGTTAACAATGCAGCTTCCTAATCAACAAAAAGTTGTTAGAAGTTAAGATGTTTTTAGGGAAAGTAATGTGAATTTTTGACAACAAGGAGGGTCAGCTCCCTAATCCATGTTTTTCAAGGCTTGAATGCACATATTTATTTAGGGTAGTAACTTTATAACCAAAATAAACACTGCCAGGAAAAGGACATAGCTAATGAAAAAATTATTAATTACTATTTTAATAGAAATCACTAAGTATTAGCTTAGTAAATCATAACAAATCTAGGTATTTGTTTAACAAATGTTAATTTTAAATCCATATAATATTACAACTTTCACATAAAATTGTCCTTGAAAGTATATTGTTAGACAGCTTGGTTTTTTTCATAATATTACCTACGAGGGAAGCTAAAAACATAAAATATATACTTCTGACAAAACCATGATGGACGGATTTTTGGTTTCTTGGATTGATATTTCAATTAGGATAATGAAACAAATTTAGTGCATGTAAGTAGATATCACTGTACCATCATAAAAATTACACCCATCAAAACTCCACCTCCAATACATGCCACAGCTAGAATAGAAGCAATGTAACAAAACAAATTGCCTTTCTTTCTAAAAAGAGTTTCTTCATCCTGCAAATAAAAGAAGGAATTTAAGCAATTACTTTTATAAGCCATTAAGGCATCAGAGTACAACAAAATCTAAATCAAGGTTTTTACTAAAATTTATAAATGTTTTTAACAATAATACTGGATACTGTTCTGTTATCAGGGCCAGGTCCAGAAATGCATGTGTGTATGCATGTATATATGGATGTATGTGTTCATGTATGCATGTATATGTAGCTGTACGTGCATATCTGGGTGTACACACACATATTTGCACATACATACATATATACTCATCTGCATATACAGTCAAAAGTCTTTAATCCGGACTCGTCGGGACTTCGACGATTCCGAATTATCAATTTTTCCGGATTATAGATCATGAGTTTAAATCTGGTAAGATGGCATGCAGAAATTATAAAATTAAAAAATATGAAAGCGTAATTTATAAAATAATGAGCAATTGATCTAAAGGGTATCAAAATTACAAAAAAATAAGCTTAATATTTATTTGTTTACTTTTAAACATTTCTTTAAACGCGCGTATGCGTAAAGCATACCCTACGCATAGCCGGAATTACAAAATTGCAACCAGAAAACTATTTGATTTGTATTCGTGATATTTATAATGACGAGAAATTTGATTTAAATCATATCAAAGACGGAGTACATCGAGATTAAATACTACATTTAATAAGGAATTATAAGCCGAATAAAATAAAAACATTTGCCCTAAAGATAACGATAGTGCTGACAGATCAACTTCCAGTTCATAGTGCGCCCGCCACGACGTCTCCCCCCCCCTCCCCGCGCAGAGCAGTGTGAAATTGATAAACAGATGTCGGAACGGTTAGATAAACAAAGGATATGCTTTTATCCATTTTTTAAAGAAATTCGTTTTTTGTTTGATGGACATCGAAGCATACTTTCGTTTTCTAGATCCTTTGGGAGCTCCAGAATCGGAAATTCTATTTGACATATCATCGAAAGTTCAAGTTTACTTTTATAAAATTGCTCTTACAGTCTGCAAAAAATAATAAGCCGGATCCAATTCGAAGATTAAGGAACAACGCAATCATCAACATTAACTGAAATAGATAATTATATAATTTTAGCTTATACCGTCCGTTTTACATTAAACGCGCACGCGAAAACGTATTCTGCGCTTGCGCAGACACATATGCGCAGTCGTAAATGTCTTGCGTGCACGCGTAAAACGCCTATGCACATGCATCAACGCGGCGCATGCGCAGAAAGATTTTAGCTTTGAGGTCCGGATTATAGATCATTCCAGATTATGGGTGTCCGAATTAACGATTGTTGACTGTATACGTAAAATATATACTTCAGACAATACCATTACACTTCTGAATCCGGCCCTGATAAGAAAACAGTACCTAAAATTCTAAAAATCAATGAGGAAATAAACAATCCAACAAATTACAATTTGCTGTAAACTAAAAATATTCCCTTAATACCTAACCTAAAAACTGTTAAAAAATTCTGAAATATGGGAAAAGTGAGTACAGGATGTGATATAACTTCTAAATATCATTAAAAAAAATTTTGGCTCCATGCTAAAGATGATAACCACAGTAATCCTTTTTCAATATATTTTAGAACAAATTCAAGATACTTACACAATATCCATCAGGTACGTCACTGGTATCATCTAATGAAATGCTGCTCCCTGGTATTTCACCTGTTCCCAGGAGAAGAAAGATTATAAATTTCAAAAGACATTTAGATAGTAATACAAAAATTATAAAAACGTTTAAAAATTTATTAATTACAGTATTTAAAAGGCATGCTTTTGTTGATGTTAATGTGGTAAAAAATCATACTAGTTATAGAAAACTTACCCATTGGGCATAAAGTCAAGTAATCTAAAACTGGACCCAGTATTTCATCTCGATGGAGGTCTACATCTAAGTCATGAACTTTAAGAATTTCACTAATGAGAAAATGAAGAAAATTTATATTAGCATAGTTATATCTAAAATTCACTAAAATAATCCATAGATAATAACATAAAAGCTAGAATAACATATATCATTGCTTACCAGTGAAAAAGTAATCATCAGATAAAATGATAAAATACACAAAATTTGCAACTTATTTAAAATACGCTACTTTATTTTTATGTTACTCTAAAAGTATACTTCTAAAACAGGTGTTTTAAATTACTTTTAAAAAATGAAAAGGTGCTTTAGTTTATTTTATACTAGCTTGTTCCTTGCTCTGCACAGGGTGCTATGTAGCACCAGTTAAGGCTAAAGTTGCAGAAAAAACTTAAAATATTCTCAAAATTCTTTATCATTTTTACTTTTCCATTCATCAAACATCTAACTATTCTTTCTGATTTCTAACTATTACCGAACTTTCAAATTTTTGTAGTCATGTAAATCACAGAACAAATAAATGTTCTGTGATTCTGTCTGTGTTCTACATAATAAATGCAAAAGACATGCAGCACTTGCTTTCATTATTAAAAATTCATTCATGTTTTTGAGCCACATAATTTTCGTAGTGGTTTTTTTTTTTTTTTTTTTTTTTTTTTTTAAATATCTTTTAGGGTAAATCTGAAAATTGAGATGCTTGATAACCTACATATAATAAAATTTATTACCAAGCTATGAGCGAAATTCCCAGTCAATTCCATCTACTGGTATTTGCCTAATTTAGCAATATACCTCAAGACAAACACTCATATATCAGTAAGATTTATAAATAATAATGATAAGTCAGTATAATGGTGAAATAGCAGTGACACAAGATAAAGAGAAAAACAAACATTGAGTTTCAGATGATGTTAGTAGGCTATGATAAATTAATCAAAGAAAAAAAAAAAAGTAGACAGTGATAAATCAATACAAAAATTTAATATCTTTCAGCAGCACACCGCCTGTCATTTTCCTTTAGAAAATTTGATTCTAATATTATTTATTTTTTTGCATTTTTATAAGTAAAAATATTTTTTATCTACTTAATATTTCAATCAAAATGAAAATACATGTAATTATATATTTATTAATTTAATAATTTTCACTAATAAATGTACATATAAATCATTATTATAGAAGCATATAACTTGATTACTGAGACATATACAGCATATAACACAGTATATAACTTAATTATTGAAGAGATTTTTTTCCATAAAATATCAAAAAAGGTCAGAACACTTGTTGAAAGCTATGGATTCATTGATGCCTCCTTTAAATAAGCAATCCAGATGAGCAGGAAGAAACTGGCAGTTTACTATAAATAATAATGACACAGACAGCTCAAGAACATTAATATGTAAATCCTCATTTGTGTATGAAAAATATCTTGAATTTCAGTATCATTCACACATTACAGAGGAAACTATAAAATAGAATTCAGTTACCTCTTTTTTAGCCACAAACACTTACAGATGGTTAACAATTGACTCATACTGGCCCCCACAGCCGTATTTTTTAGGTGTTGCATGAGACTATGAAAACTTTGGGAAAAACTAGACATTAGAACTTCAAAAATACATTTTCCTGAAACTTGCCATGGTCATCAGAAAGCATATTTGCCCATATTTCACTTTCTAGCTGAGCTATTTTAACAATTTCAAGATTACTGAATTCAGATTTGAAAATCTTACATTTCTATGTAAGACATAAATACTTCTGTACAAAACATGTGACTGCAAATTCAATTAACATATATTTCTGCGTATACGGCAAGAATTTTTGAAACTTTTTTAAAGCTAAATTATGGGGTTGGCTGTTATACAGATCCATTAATCCTGCAAAAAACATAGCTACTTTTCCGTTAACCATGCACAAGTGATAAATAGCTAAATATCACACTTTTTTATTTCTTTAGTTTACACTGGTTATCATAAATTAAGGAAAAATCACAAAAACCACGATTACTGAAAAAGTTACACGTAGAATTTTATGAAACTTACCCACAATATACAACATTTAGTAAGGTATCAAATAACACAAAAAGAAATTACCAGACAATTATGGAAGTATAGAAATTAGCACATGTATAAAATGAACAAATCGAAGATGTCAGTTTGCTATAGTAAAAGTACCTTCAATATGGAATATAGTCGCCTCTAGAAGCAATACAGCACATTCAGCGATGTGTGATGCTTTCAATATTGCGGTTTATCAGTTCCATAGAAAGTGAGAGCCATTGCTCTTTCAAAGCAGTTGCAAGCGCGTCGAGGGTCTAAGGGGGCGGATTGAGAACAGCTAAATGTCTCCCTAAAACATCCCAAACGTGCTCGATAGGATTCAAGTGCGTGGATCGAGCTGGCTACTCCATACGCATAATTGTTTCTTGCTGAAGATAATCGTATATGATGCGAGCCCTGTGTGATCCTGCATTGTCGTCCTGTAACAGGAAAGCATCGCCTATTGCCCCGGCATATGGGTGCACATAAGCATCAAGGATGTCATCTCTATAAACATGAGCATTCACGGTTGCCCTTGGAAAAACATTTAGGTCTGTGCATCCACCCAAAGAGATGCCAACTCAAACACAGACACTGCCTCTTCCGTATGCATCTCTTTCACGGATGTTTGACGGATAATAACGGGTTCCAGGTTCTCTCCATATCAAATAATGCCTACCATTACGTCTAGACTAAACCTGGACTCATCCATAAAGAGAATAGCCCTCCATTGCTCAGGCGTCCAGTGGACATGTTGTCATGCCCACTGCAAACGGTCGCTCCTACGGCATGACTTGAGCAGCACGCAAATGGTTATTTGCCTCGCATATACAGACCACCTTCGTGAAGCCTTCTACGCACAGTTCACGTTAACACCAACCTTCCAGTGGCTGCAGCAAGGGAGGATCTAAGAAGAGTCGGAGTAGTGGTTCTATTCCTGAGTGCACATAATTTTAAATATCGATCATCGGCGCTCGTTGTAGCAGTTGGCCGTCCTTGGCTGAACCTCCTAGGTGCTGAATCTGTGATTCGAAATTGCCTCCAAAGTCTATGAACCATAGAGGACTTCACATTTAGCCATATGGCCAATTCTGTTTGACTTTATCCTGCCTCTAGTCTCTCATTGGCTCTCCATCGTGGTTCTGCAGGCAAATGATACCTGGAGGTTATTGTTACGAATTGGCTATCTTAGATTTCTGATGTCACTATCACAGTGAAATATGTGGGCTTGCTCTCAAACATGGACTTTTATGCTCCTCGCATATGACGTATTCCGAGTGCAACGCCACTAATTTGCATATTGGAGTTTTACTCAGCTACTCTTACTTGGCAACATATTCAAATTTTACACGGTTTGGCTTACTTTTTAGGGAGTTATCGCTATTTTTGTGATTTTTCCTTAATTTATAATAACCAGTGTATATTTAAGTTTATAAGTTTTAGTTTATTAAGTTTTATTTCTTTAGTTCATATTTCTTTATATGTAATTATTCCAAACAACAGTTGAGTTATGGTTGTAAAATTCAAATGACGTAAATGAATTACTAATTCAATTATTGAAATTAACATACGTAAATGAATTTTATGTCAGTAATGATAGGAATAAAGCATTCAGCAAACCACATTTGTGTTCAGACACCTTTTTCTTCTCAGCGTAAAAAAAGGTATTTTATTTTTGAGTTGCATCTTAATTTCATGAAGTAGTTATTCGAACATAATCTTTCTTTGTGAAGAATACTATTTTCTTGAAGAAATAGAATATGTGCTCATTCATCTCTTGGCAAATCCCAAATCATGAAAAACCAATTCAATTAAAAATTTTAAAAAAGGCCCAACTGGATGAAATATGTGATTACATGAGCAATGTTTATAAAAACAATTATTGCCAGAAAAAAAGCCAAACAAAACTGACACTGCATGGTACAAGGATATATCCCAATTTTTTTTTAATAAGGTAGCAAAAGTATGGCTTTAACAGAAAAATATATTTAAAAAAAAAACTAGAACAGTTATGTAATTTATGGCATTAAAAACATTTTTATTAATCACAATAATGCTGCAAATATTCATAATCATTAATTTGATTCATCGTAAATTAAATGTGTTTTAAGTTATATAAAATTTTATATATTATTAAAAAAACGAAATAAATACTGAATGATTAAGAAGTACATTTATTGCTTTATAATGCACCAGCTGCCAGTTCTACTGAGTAATAAAGCAGTGCATGTCTCTATAGAATTTGATGTTTTCTAAATTCAGATTAAAATAATGAAGTATATTTTCATTAAATATACTATTCTACCCAAGAAATAGAAGAAATAAAAATATCAAAAATAAAATCATAAACAACTAGAATACAAAAATTCAGATATAAAATATAAAACAAAATTAACAGTGCCTTGATTTACCACTTGAGAGTTTTCCTCCCTTTTATAATTTATATATTTCATAACTACACGTATATCTAACAGTATTCATATATTTCAATTTCAAGTAATAAAGAAATGATTAACTTGCTTTTCAAGTTCTTGCCAGCTATCTCTTTCTCTAAAATATTTTTCAGTAGGATTACAATGAAATAAAACCAATGAGCTTTTATCTTTGGCTTCAACTTTTTCAATGACTCCAGTCCTAATAAAATGGCACTCGCTTGTACCATCTGAAATACAAAATCAACACATTTAAAAAATAACATAAAATATTTTACTACCACAACAAGAACTTTCAGATACTTATGACACTTAAATTATTTTTGTTACTTATGCAGGCAAGTAACAAAAATATCTGATACCTTTCTTGAAAAATATCTGCAAAATTCTTTTGCATTCTGTTAATGATCTTTTTCATTGAATGTTGAAAAAGTAACTAGTTTTTATCATCAGTTTTTGGATAAACTGCAAAATTTGAATACTGATGCTAGCATATTTTATTTTTAAAGTTTGAAACACAGTACCTGCTGCTGATTAAAATAAATTTGAACATATTTGAGTTTATTCAGCAGTTGAATTTATTAAACGGTAAGTTATATATTAAATATTGGTCATATAATGAACCTGACATCATTTATTTCATTAAATGCCAAAGAATAAAATGGGCAGGCCATGCTATCAGAATAGATGAAGACCGTGCAAGAAAAAAAAGTCTTCAACGCCAGACCAACAGGCACACGGAAAAAAGGCAGACCAAATCTACCATGGTTAGACTGCTTAGAAACTGACCTACTGGTTTTTGACCCAAAAACTGGAAAACGTTAGCAGGGAGAAGATTGATCTGGAAATGCTTTTTGAGAAGGCCAGCGCCCACCCTGGACTGTCGGGCCACTGAGAAAGGAAAGAAGAATTTATGCATGATAAAACATACTAGTTTTAAACTGCTCAAGTAAAATAATAACTAATTCATTTATTAATCCCAAAATACTAATTAAAAAGTAATACTAAAATTAATATATTTATACAATTTTTTATAAAAAAATGTAATTACATTGACGTAAATAGCTGTTTTATCTGTGTTTTTAATCAGCACCTTTCAGTTCAGGAATTTTTCTTACAATTTGCAGTGATTTTCTAAATTCAATTGATGAGGGTATTTCCTCATTATTTTCTGTATCACTTCCACTGTTAGCTTCTGCAGTTATTTTAACACTACTATAGTTGTCTCAATGTTGTGAATTCACACATATTCTAAAAATTAATCTCCATTGCTTCCCTCAATGATGTCTTGAAACATCAGCTTCAGTTGGAAGTTCCTCTGAGGCTTTCCCTACATTTTTTTTAAGGAATTAACATCCTAAATTCACTATAATATGTATGGCTTCTAGCAGAGATACTGACTTACTCATCTTCTACAAAATGCTTAGAATTTCACAAAATTTAATTCTGTTTATGATTTACCAAACATCTTTCTGTAAGGACATATGAATGCTTTTATAATATCTTAAAATTAAAGGTTGAATGTTAGAAGCTGTATCCCCAGGAAGAGACATTAAGTTTTTTACAAAGAACTCAGAGGTGTGTGTTCTGCAGAATTACCTAATTAGTAAAGTTATTTTTTAATTTTTCAGCTTACTGCCCCATTTCAAAAGAAAGTAAGCAAAAATACTATTAGTCATTTGCGAGTCCTTGTTCCTATGGTAAATTAGAAGTCCAACAGGCCAGCAGGAGAGTTTTTCTGCTTTCATCAATAACCAGTGCTATCTTCTTAATTGCTGGGTCCATATTGCCTGATAATAACACAGTTAATTATTTCTTAACCCATTAACTGCCAAAACTAAAAGGAACAACTGCTTTTGCATACAAATAATAATAAGTACTAAATTAAGCATTTATAACATAAATTTACACTGAAAATAAAAAAAAAAAATACCTATGGTAAAATGAGAGTAAAAATACAGATGCTTAGTGAGTATGATTGTACTTGAGCAAAGTTTTATTTGAAAGGAGAATTGACTACTTTTTAGCTTAAAATTTTTTATAAATCTACAAATCACTTTATTTGTAATTAATTTAATATTAAAATTTACATTGTATTTCTTTTACAAATAAAGATTATTTTCAATTGAAAGATTAAAATATGAAAAGCTTCACTACAATCACGATGTACAACTACATTACATATTTTGCACCTATAAATAGTCTAGCTATGGCATTCTTTACAATGAAGTCTTCTGTTATTCAGACCTTACGATAAAATGTCTACCATCTCCATGCAATGGCTTTTGAATGCTGAATTTAGGTCCTTTTGTTGCTGATCTATTTCTGGCTAATTTTACACTTTCAATAGGAGTCTGCAAAAGGATTAATGCAATCTCACGTCTGAAATCTAAGAGAGACATTCATTCCCAGTAGTAGAAAGTTGTGATATTTTCCCTGCATTTGTCACGAATACATCAACATAATTAGTAAATACAGTACAAAGTCCGAAATCCGGACTCGTCGGGACTTCAGCGATTCCGGATTTGGGATTTTTCCCGGATATTAGATCATCAATTTAAATCTAGTAAGATAGCATGCAGAAATTATACAATTAAAAATATGAAATCATAATTTATGAAATAAAGAACGATTATGATCTAAAGGATACAAAAAAAAGCTCAATATTTATTTGTTTACTTTATTAAACATTTCTTTAAATGTAAGTTGTTTAAGTTACTTCCACCAAAAATTCAAAAAGTTTTTCTCATATCTTATACAGTTGACTTTCCAATGCCATACTCCTCGCATAATTTTGAGAGGGATATTTTCTGCATTTTTTGCGGCAATTCCCCTTTTTGTTTAATAGACATCGAAACATGGTTTCGCTTTGTATATCCTTTTGCAGCTCCAGATTTGGAAACTCTTTTCGACATATTCGTTTTCGATTATGGAAGTTTAGTTTTTATAAAATTGCTGTAATAATAACAGTCTGCAAAAATAATAAACTGGATCAAATTAGAAGATTAGGGAGCAGCGCAGTCTGCTACATTTACTGAGAATCAGTCAAGATAACTTTAGCCTGGCTTAATAGCGTCCGTTATACATTATTGGCTGTGTATCGCAAGACTGGCGACGAAAGTCAAGTTGTTTCGCTAAATTTTGTCTTGCTCCTATTGTGTACTGAATTAAGCCTAGTTTAGTTATTTACTATACCTACGTTTATTTCTTGCATATGCTTAAAAAAATCTGAGTTCTGAATAAATAAACTCCCACATATACTTAAGGCTTTATCTAGAGCCAACGCTAGATACCACTTGGTGCAGTCGCTACAGGTCCTAAATTCTGCTACAAAGCGCCTTTCTAAGTTCTAAATTTTCACCGCGCCTAAACGGATCCCAGTGCTTTCCCTAAATCATAAAAAAAACTTCTCATCCCTTCATTTTGTCGCTCAGTGTTTACCCAAATTAAAAAAATTTCGTCTTTTCTAAATTCTGCCGTCCGGTGCCGACATATTCTGCCGCCTCTTCTGGGTTTATGGTGAATAACATATCAGTTATTCTTAATTAAAATAGCACTAAATGTAATCTTTTGGCCTATGAGTTTCATTAACAAAATAGATTTTGTTAATTTGATTAATCTATTTCAATGTTAAGAAAGTATATAACTTTCCAATTATACACCATTTCATGATGAGCAAAACTTTGTGCCCCCTCCCCAAACAAAATGATAAACCAAGAAATTCAAGCAAAATATTCCATATTGAAAAACGGATTATGCATCAGGTTTCTAAGATGTGGCTAGTGTCGCAGTGTGTTATTGAAATGATCTACCAAAATGCTAAAAATTAATAATGTTATGGATAAATGCCTTATGTATGTTAGTAAAAACATTATTATGCTTTAATGAGTTATCATCCCTTTAAAGATAGATCTTTGTTGCTTCTCATACTAAAGAAAGGCAATCATTAAATAATAACTATGGATAGTCTTCTTAATACTCCAAAACAGGAAGGAGAGAACAGTATATCCTTTTCGTACTAAATGTATAATTATTCAAAATTAGCACATATAACAGAAGGATCACCGATTACGCATGTTTAAAATAAAAATTTAGAATTCAACAAAGTTACTTGTTTTTATTCAAAAATTATAGTAAAGAGACAGGTTATTTCCTTAGTTTTTCTATTCTTTAATTTCTCAACATTGCTACATTCTTTTTTCATTCATTCTTTTGTATAACCAAATGAGTAGAAGTTGGGATATAGGAGGAAATATAAATGTCAGAACCTTATTTTAAAAAAACTGGCAACATTTAATATGCTATGCATTTATGTAAGTGAAGAAAAATAATAAAGAAAAGATTCTACATTTCAAAGGATGCAATTTATAATCAGGGCATAGAATGATTTAAAAAAAAATTCCAATGAAATTTTATACTTAAAACAACAAACCTTAATATTTATTATATTTCATTTTTTAAATATAAGTAATTTTAAGTAGCTTCAAAACATGCATGTATTTTTTTTTATTATTATTATAGTCATAATTTATTTTTTAAGTTACTTTAATTACTGTTTTTCATAATTACCTGATGGATTTAATATGCAATTAGTAATAGCCCTACTTTTCAATTTGCAATGAAGAATCATCTAACATCTATCTTCTATCAGTGAAAACTCAAACATGTTGTTTATAATAAATATTTTAGTATTTTCTTCTTGACAAAATGACAGTAGAAATTTTGGACTAAAGTGTTGAATGTTATATGCTATTTCACCATGTTTAAGCTTTTTTTTTTTTTTTTTTTTTTAATAAGTAAAAAGAAGAAGAAAGGGAATTATATGGATTATACAATTTGGAATTTACTGAATGAAAAGAATGACAATTAAATTCTTCCAAGACAAATGTATAATTCATATGGAGGGACTTATCTGAAAAACCACAAAATGAAATCACATTTTACTACTAATGAAGCACCAAAACAGCACTGCAATCAGAGGCCATGCCATGAAAAAAAAGGTCTACAATGTGAAAGCTGGTTTGAATTCACACAATCCTTTACTGACAGTTATTTGGTTTATTTATTTTGGGCATGAAGAATTTAGATTGGTACAATTCTGTAAACTGCAACTGGAAATGAAACACAAGTGTTGATTGAAATAAATACATTCATTCTGATTAATAAATATCTGCATTTGTTGAAGTATGTATATTGAATTTTAATACAACAGCCATTCTTTTTACCTAATCTATATATAGTCAAAAGTCGTTAATCCGGACTCGTCGGGACTTCGGCAATTCCGGATTATCGGTTTTTCCGCATTATAGATCATCAATTTCAATCTGGTAAGATAGCATGCTGAAATTATAAAAATAAAAATATGAAACCGTAATTTATGAAATAAAGAACAATTATGATCTAAAGAGTATCAAAATTTACAAAAAAAAAAAAAAAAAAACTTAATATTCATTTGTTTACTTTATTAAACATTTCTTTCAATGTAAGTCGTTTAAGTTGCTTTGTTTTATGTGCTAATACTTTCTCTTTAATTCTATATAAACAGACGTAATTTCTTGTTCAGTTACAAAGTTCTGCTGTTCAAATCCCGTAATTGCTGTGCCGAAAATACCGACTAACTTGTCAATAGAAATTTTTTCATTTTCACTAACCTCTCTGTCACTTTCTTCATACCTTTATCCATTTTTGGCAGCCATTCCACCTTTTGTTTGATGGACATCGAAACATACTTTCGTTTTGTAGATCCTTTGGGAGCTCCAGCATTGGAAATTCTATTTGACATAATTGAAAGTTCAGGCTTACTTTTATAAAATTGCTCTAACAGTCTACAAAAAATAATACGCCGGATCCAATTCGAAGATTAAGGAACAACGCAATCTGCAACATTAACTGAAATAGATAATTAGGTAATTTTAGCTTATACCGTCCGTTATACATTAAACGTGCATGCGTAAACGTATTATGTGCTTGCGCACACGCATATGCGCGCCGTAAAGCTCTTATGCGCATGCATAAACGCCTATGCGCTTGCGTCAACGCGATGCATGCGCAGAAAGTTTGTAGCTTTGAGGTCCAGATTATAGATCATTCCGGATTATGGGTGTCCGAATTAACGACTTTTGACTGTATATATATATAGATATAGATATATCTTTAGAGTTGCCATCCCTTTCTCCAAAGTGGCATCTGTTAACTGGAAAGTAATAATAATTTTTTCTCTCCCTTTTGGGAATCTGATGTAATCTGACTTCATGATATATTATTACAAACATTTGACTATTGAACTGATTTGACTATTTGAAATATTTCTAAAATAAACATTTAAAAGTACACAGAAAATCTAACCTGCATTAGGTACTAGAGGGAACAAGTGATAAAGGTGCATTGTCCTCCTCAGCTCTCGGTCTAATGTGTGAATACAAGCGACTAGCACTTTACATGATCTCTCCAAGTCACCAATTTCTTTTTTGGGGATACTGTCTGCTCTTTGAAGAAAAAAAAAAACATACATCAGATATTGAAAAATGTTACACAGAATTAATTTATTTATTGTATTTTGTTTTAATAATGTATAAGAACAAATTAATAATCAATAACACCCTGCAAATGTAAAAAATAATTGGTGGTACTATTCTGTTTTGAGGGCCGTAAAAAAATTGCAGCAAAAATGTATGTGCAAAAGCGCTAAATCTAGCAAATGCACCCATTTAACAGCGTGCCAAATCTTGAGTACGACCTGATTTCAGATTGCGTTTAAGTTTATATAGTTCTATATTTCTTAAGACACCATTGAAATACTAGTTTAATTTTTAAATCCTTTTTTGATTTGACGAAGAGTTGGCAATGGAATTTTGGGTAAAGTGCAGAATCACCCCTGCTTGACGCGTTTCTAAGAATTGCACATATTTGGTATCCATGTGCACATCAACCTATTTTCACTTTAAAAAAAATTCTAGAATTGCACAAAAATGGCATTGTGCACACCCTGACTTTATCTATGTACATCGGACCTATTTTCACTTAAAAAGTTAAAGAAAATTGACAAAAATCCAATTTTTCTTACTCTTGTAAAAAGCGGCAAACAAATAAGTGAGCGATTCTGCCCTTTACTGAGATATTTTCAAAGAAAGGCATCATCATTATAGAAATTATGTTTGAACAACCAACGAGATGAAATGATGCTTTAGCGATAAGTCGGTAGCGAAATAGCGATGCAGGCATCCATTCAGTTATGTTTAACAATTTTTATATAAATTATAATAATGATCTGAAATAGTTATTACTCTTAGCTTCCATCAGTCATGTTAGCCTTTTTCATATAAATTATAATAATAAAAAGTATTATATGAAATTAACCTTTCATCTAAATTAAAACATCAATCTTGGATAGTTATTTACTATTACACTTCCTTTCTTGCCGCAATTATTAGGGTTGCCACAATTATTTTTGGCAGCATTGGCATCAACAATAGTTTGGCGATTTTTTACGGCCCTCGAAACCGAATAGTACCTAATTGGTTATTTCATTAAGACCTGAAACATGCGACTGGAGATCATATGAAATCTTTCATCTTTTAAAATTTGTTACATCATTATTTATTTTATATTCATAATATACTTCCCACTGGAATTACTTTCATCTAAATCTGAATTGTGCTCTTTTTTATCATCAAATTATTATTTATTAAATTTTATTTCAGAAGACTACTTTATCTTAATTAAGCCTCCAAAATAAAATTAACACAGCAATAAAAAGGAAAAGTCAAGCACACGATACATTTTAAAAAGACATTCAATTTCTTTTTAAAGGAAATTTAAACAGTTTTCAAATTGAGTATAATTTGATGCTCATAATGAAATTTAGGATGATGCTAAAAAATAATTGTTTTATAAATTTAATTGGTATTAATGCATTTTAGTTCTATTAAAAAATGTTAACAGTCTCGAACAAGTCAGTCTTTAGGCACACGGATAACTGCGAATACCCACAGTAATGTTCCCTAAGGTACCAGCACCACAATTCCATAGAAGTATTTTGACCACCTTATGAAACATTCACAGTACACTGAATTATTAACCTAAATTCTTTTCTAAACCCCAAAAAATATTTTTTTACAGCTAAAAATATGATGCAATGAAAATACACATACATTGAATTGTTGGTGAAACTTAAAATTAGACAAAACTTTTGTTTGGTATTAATTTAAGCTATACTTTGGTGCAGTTCTCTTGATGTTAGTGAAATATTACAAACTAATGAATTTTTACAGAGTATAAAGTATATATCTGCTTTAGAGTATCTCTTACTATTGTGGAACAACATCACAAATGTTAATTTTATGTAACAAGACATGTTTGCATGCTGTTCTCCAATCAAACACAGCAATTCCCTGACACAAAAGACTACAACAATTTTAATTTTTATATCAAATAGTAACAGCAATTACATATTTTAGAATTTATGTGTGTTGAGTCCAACCTATACATATTTGGAAAAAATACATACTTTAAGGTTTTTCACCAAACTTAATCTTGAAAATATTAATTTATAAAAAAGCAGCAAAGATGCGTTATACATCACTACAATACTCTGCTCAAGATTATAAAAAAAAGGAGGGAGAAGAAATAAACATCACATAAGTTTGCAAATATAACAATGAAACTAAAGAGGGGGGAACAAAACATAACTGCTCTTCCCATTTCATAATCAAATAGTAACAGAAATGTTAAAATATAAAAAGAAAGAAAGATTTTTAAATTATTAATACAGTTAAAAGTCTTTAATACGGACTCGTCGTGCCTTCGGCAATTCCGGATTATCGGTTTTTCCATATTATAGATCATCAGTTTAAATCTGGTAAGATGGCATGCAGAAATTATAAAATTAAAAATATGAAACAGTAATTTATGAAATAAAGAGCAATTATGATCTAAAGGGTATCAAAATTTACAAAAAAAAAAAAAAAAAAAAAAGCTTTATATTTATTTGTTTACTTTATTAAACATTTCTTTCAACGCGTGCATGCGTAAAGCATACATTACGCATAGTCGAAATTAGAAAATTGCAACCAGAAAACTATTTGATGTGTATTCATGATATTTAGAATGATGAGGAATATGATTTAAATCATATCAAAAACAGAGTACATCGAGATGAAATACTACATTTAGTAAGGAATTATAAGCCGAATAAAATAAAAACATCTGCCCTGAAGATAAGGATAATGCTGACAGATCAACTTCCAGTTCACTGTGCACCGCATCGTTTCCCCCCCCCAGAGCAGCGTGAAATTGATAAACATATTTCAGAATGATTAGAGAATCAAAGGATATGCCCTTTATCCATTTTTTGCAGCAATGCCACATTTTGTTTGATGGACATCGAAACATGCTTTCGTTTTGTAGATCCTTTGGTAGCTCCAGAATCGGAAATTCTTTTTGACATAATCAAAAGTTCAAGCTTACTTTTATAAAATTGCTCTAACAGTCTGCAAAAAATAATAAGCCGGATCCAATTCGAAGATTAAGGAACAACGCAATCTGCAACATTAACTGAAATAGATAATTTTAGCTTAGCTTATTCTGTCCATTATACATTAACCCCTTCGAGATGGGTAGCGCAAACGCGCGCTTATCGCGGAGGCCGGCAGTGTCTTACGCGAGCGTCTGTCCAGGACTGGGGGCCTTTTTGCTACTAAGCCTAAATCCATGAAATTTCCAAAGTATCAACACATTGTTTAATAATGCTCTATAGAGTATTTAACCGGCTTACACTTTATAGATATTTTTATACTACGTAGGTAAGTTGAAAAATAAGTTTCCCCTGTCGACTGTGGTCAGAGTTGTGTATGAAAGTCAAAAAATAGAATGAGACATTAAAGATATGACATACTTTTATTTTATTATTCTCGTATGAGTACATTGAGACATTTGTCATATCGCTTGATAAGCTTCAAAAAGTCCTCCAAGAAAAATTCACGCTTTGCATATGGAAGAAGCGTTGAACGGCTATGGGCGAAAGGCGACACAGCAGGAAAATGCGCAAGTCACCGATACACCATTGGGTAGAGGTCGCTGCTGTTGGAAAATATAGCTTATTTTTAAACCTTTTACTGCATCATCTCTCCTCCTTGAAATGTTTATTTAGTTTAGTCCTTATTTTAATGTAATATAGTAGTTATTTCTACTTCTTTTTCTTGCTGCCACTGTTTGCATTGAGAATGGACTGTTTCAACCTAATTGAGATGCAAAAACGAAACATGATGTTACGTCATCTGAAAAGCCGATTCGCGCCGATAGCTGATTGGTTGCCGTGAGATGACATCATTCCTACTTCTGCTATAAGTATCTCGCGCCGCTCTGACTTAACCCTTCTAGTTCCTGCTTTCCCGGCATTTGAGTGAGCGGTTTCCAGCCCCTTCAGAAGGACGCGTGCAGTCCGGTGATTTAAGTGCCTTGGTTCCGGTTTGCGAGATGATGGTTCCAGAATAAAGTTCTTTGGTTCCAGAGGCTACCATGTGAGTGACTGCCGTGGGCGGCATCCATGTTCTTCAATAAAGGCGGCAATTAAAAATACGTGAGCGGCGACTCCTTGTGCAAACGGGGTTAAGCCTGTTTTAAGTGCTTTCAAGAACTTCATTTAAATTTTCAGGTGTTTTTCTTGACCATTGATTATGGACTTATTAAATGTGTAGCCAGCTTCAATTTTAGGCCGCATAATTACTGTTTAGGACTTTTTGTTTGTATAGAATGCCAGTGTTTTGGAGACCAGGTAAAAATATTTGATGAATGATGGTTATATTATATTTTTCCTAAGACTCTAATATTGTTAACATTTATTTTTTGTGTTTTTATTCTTTATTATATTGTTAATAAATTTGTTAAGTTCAAAATCTTTTATTGTATTCAATGTCTGCACAACATACCTCAGGGAGCTTTTATTGCTACTAATGCTAAATGTTTAATTTCTTTAAACTTTGCTTTAGCATCAGCTGCAAATTAAGCAGATGGCACTGTTGCAGTGCCTGCGCAAAGCGGAGACCAGCCTCTCATTTGAGCACCGGTAGGTATGGAGAGAAGGCGCGTTTTGAATTCGTGGTCAAAGGAGGAAGTGAGAGCGGTTATCCGCTATGAACGGGCACGTGGAGTATCAGGAACAGAAATTCATAACCGCCTCGTGGAAGTCTATGAGCCAGGTGTGATGTCGAAGCAAATGGTGCGGAGATGGTGTCGCACATTCAGTGATGGACGTCAGCAAGTGGAGGACATACCGAGAGCTTGACAGACGCGCACGGCCACTACAGATGCAAATGTCAGGAAGGTGGATGACATGATTAGAGCGAACCGGCGTATCACCATCGATGAAGTAGCGGAAGAACTTGAAATCTCACATGAGCAACCTCAAAACATCATCCACGACATTCTTCGATACAGAAAAGTGTCAGCACGATGGGTGCCCCGACAATTGACCTTGACACACAAGGAA